CTAGACACCGGCATAGTCCACCTCCAGAGTGCGCCAGACTCGAGTGCAGGTAATGGCCGTGGCGCTGCCTCCGTCACTCAACCATCCCCGCGGGTGAAGGCACTCCACACCGTCGACATTATGACCCAAGAGTTGAGTCGAGAGCTTAGACTCTCGACTAAGAGTCGAGAGCTTAGCAAGAGCAGAGTCTGACGGCAATTAACCTCTAGCCATCTCGACTCTATATACACGAAAACAGAAAGAAAAAATCTTTCAGAGTCGCCTACGGCACGAGCAGACGAGGACCGCTACCATACAGGGACACCTGTCCATCATATGGGACACCTGTCCATCATATGGGACACCTGTCCATCATATGGGACACCTGTCCATCATATGGGACACCTGTCCATCATATGGGACACTTGTCCATCACATGGGAAACCTGTCCATCATATGGGACACCTGTCCATCATATGGGACACTTGTCCATCACATGGGACACCTGTCCATCATATGGGACACCTGTCCATCATATGGGACACCTGTCCATCACATGGGACACCTGTCCATCATATGGGACCCCTGTCCATCATATGGGACACCTGTCCATCACATGGGACACCTGTCCATCATATGGGACCCCTGTCCACCATATGGGACACCTGTCCATCATATGGGACACCTGTCCATCACATGGGACACCTGTCCATCATATGGGACCCCTGTCCATCATATGGGACACCTGTCCATCATATGGGACACCTGTCCATCACACGGGACACCTGTCCATCACACAGGACACCTGTCCATCACACGGGACACCTGTCCATCACACAGGACACCTGTCCATCACATGGGACACCTGTCCACTACACTTTGAGGACACCACTCCCCAATAGGAAGAAAACCCGCTGGGTTGTTCATCCTGTCACTTGTCTGGGTACAAGTGACAGGATGAACAACCCAGCGGGTTTTCTTCCTATTGGGGAGTGGTGTTTGAGGACACACGCAAGCCTAACGTTGATGTTTATTAAACCTTACGTGATTATAATGATTCCGTGTTATGAGAATATTACGACATTCTTGTATAAATAATGTACCTAATTATCTAAGCTAAATCATTTATAAATGTACAGTCGATGAATGAAGTTTATGAACTTGATTATATAGAGTTGAGCGGGAAGGAAGCTGCATAATGTCTTCAACAACAGCTCGGTTGTTCCAGGTTTAGTAGGTAAATCAAGTGTTGCACAGAATGTGGTGGTTGTGTTGTAGTGTTCTCTGAGGTCAAGTGAACGACGGTTCCAGCCATTTAGAGCCTTAGGGTGTCGTCAGGAAGATGGTTCTGGTATCTTGAGGTTATCTTGAGATGATTTCGGGGCTTTTTTTTTAGTGTCCCCGCGGCCCGGTCCTCGACCAGGCCTCCACCCCCAGGAAGCAGCCCGTGACAGCTGACTAACACCCAGGTACCTGTTTTACTACTAGATAACAGGGGCATAGGGTGAAAGAAACTCTGCCCATTGTTTCTCGCCTGCACCTGGGATCGAACCCAGGACCACAGGATCACAAGTCCAGCGTGCTGTCCGCTCGGCCGACCGGCTCCCTTTTCGGTATCGTCCTCCGTCTGAATGGAGATTTTATTTTAGTGTATATTGTGTTTATTATGCTACAATGGTGGGCCCAAGACTTGCAGCATCATGATAGCGTGACTCACGGCTTATGCTACAATGGTGGGCCCAAGACTTGCAGCATCATGATAGCGTGACTCACGGATTATGCTACAATGGTGGGCCCAAGACTTGCAGCATCATGATAGCGTGACTCACGGCTTATGCTACAATGGTGGGCCCAAGACTTGCAGCATCATGATAGCGTGACTCACGGATTATGCTACAATGGTGGGCCCAAGACTTGCAGCATCATGATAGCGTGACTCACGGCTTATGCTACAATGGTGGGCCCAAGACTTGCAGCATCATGATAGCGTGACTCACGGCTTATGCTACAATGGTGGGCCCAAGACTTGCAGCATCATGATAGCGTGACTCACGGATTATGCTACAATGGTGGGCCCAAGACTTGCAGCATCATGATAGCGTGACTCACGGATTATGCTACAATGGTGGGCCCAAGACTTGCAGCATCATGATAGCGTGACTCACGGATTATGCTACAATGGTGGGCCCAAGACTTGCAGCATCATGATAGCGTGACTCACGGATTATGCTACAATTGTGGGCCCAAGACTTGCAGCATCATGATAGCGTGACTCACGGATTATGCTACAATGGTGGGCCCAAGACTTGCAGCATCATGATAGCGTGACTCACGGATTATGCTACAATGGTGGGCCCAAGACTTGCAGCATCATGATAGCGTGACTCACGGCTTATGCTACAATGGTGGGCCCAAGACTTGCAGCATCATGATAGCGTGACTCACGGCTTATGCTACAATGGTGGGCCCAAGACTTGCAGCATCATGATAGCGTGACTCACGGATTATGCTACAATGGTGGGCCCAAGACTTGCAGCATCATGATAGCGTGACTCACGGATTATGCTACAATGGTGGGCCCAAGACTTGCAGCATCATGATAGCGTGACTCACGGATTATGCTACAATGGTGGGCCCAAGACTTGCAGCATCATGATAGCGTGACTCACGGCTTATGCTACAATGGTGGGCCCAAGACTTGCAGCATCATGATAGCGTGACTCACGGATTATGCTACAATGGTGGGCCCAAGACTTGCAGCATCATGATAGCGTGACTCACGGATTATGCTACAATGGTGGGCCCAAGACTTGCAGCATCATGATAGCGTGACTCACGGATTATGCTACAATGGTGGGCCCAAGACTTGCAGCATCATGATAGCGTGACTCACGGATTATGCTACAATGGTGGGCCCAAGACTTGCAGCATCATGATAGCGTGACTCACGGCTTGAAGACTGGGTTCCTTGTGTACATCTCCATTTATTTACATTATTTTAAGAGCAAGTTACAAGGAAATGTAACTTGGAATGGTCGGCACAGCGGAGACCTCGCTTTTTGCAGATTGGCGTTCGATCCCCGACGGTCAGAGTGGGTGAGCACCATTTCAGGCTTGTTATATATACTCTGACAAATCTGTATTACCTCATCATTAGTTTGAGCAAATCACCAGCATCATCTTGCAGTGATATTATTTGGTTGCAAGTCAACATTTAGTGTTCATAAGCATGCAAACGAATGTTGAATGGTGTATAGTGACATTGCACACCGCCATAGCAGCTGTCTAACTCCCGTAGCAGCTGTCTAACTCCCGTAGCAGCTGTCTAACTCCCAGTTATATATCGAATACGTTAAGGTGATGTCGTTACATCGTACAAATGAGTTTCAAATGGTCGCCCAGCATGCACCCTGCTGTGAGAGGACGGATGGAACGTCATCACTGTATGTCATGCATACAGTAACATGCATGACAGATGATGACATGTCATCAACGTCATGCTTCCAATCATCTACCATAGTCCAACGGGTCACAGATAGTGTGTAGAAGATCTCACGGGTCTTGGTAGAACTTTAAGCGTGGTAAAGGTTAATTTCCCCGTCTGTATGGAAGCCATTAGTGGAGACTTGAGATGTCTGCCATATTCCTCAGAGAGATGAGATGATGTTTTCTGCACCTCCAGGCCAGCCTGGTGCCATACCTCAGTGCAGATAATACACAAGCCACCAGCATGATAAGTTTTTAATTTGTTATATTTGAACAGCAATAAGGTAAAGTCCAGCAGTACCAAGGAATGTGAGGTAGCAATCCAGCCCCTCCATACATTATAAATGGTGGCAGCGGTGGGATCTGAACCTATATGCCTCCGAAGACAATGGTGTAACCACTTAATTCTAGCTTGTATTTATAATGAAACTTTCAGGAGATTCCAAAAATCTATAATTTAAGGGGTTTCTAAGACAATTGTCATACTGGGTATATGTGGATTTCTGTTTTGCTTGCTATACTGAACCTTTTTTCTGATCTGCATAAGATCTTATTTTGTGAAGTGTTTCACTTCACACTTTGGTGAAACTTGGTAACTGAGGACAGGTCTCGCTCCCAATAGATCCCACTATGGCCATGTCTTGCTCCCAGTAGGCGCCATTATGTCCAGGTCTCGCTCCCAGTAGGCTCCACTAGGGTGCCACAGTATGGCACACATGGGAAATAAACAGTCAGCTGAGAGTATCATGTGAGGGTGGTAGAATCATGCCAATTTGCGATGATATAATTACATATAGTCTTTCAACAGATAACCAGTGAGTCTCAAAGACATTCAGTAGTCCCAGTGATATCCAAACAGTCCCAAAGATATCCAGACAGTTCCAAGATATACGAGATAGTCCCAGATGTATCCGGACAGTCTGAGAGATAACCAGACAGTATCAACGATATTCAGGCAGTCCCACAGATAACCATACAGCCCCAGAGATAACCAGACAGTCCCAGAGATAACCAGACAGCCCTAGAGATAACCAGACAGCCCCAGAGATAACCAGACAGCCCTAGAGATAACCAGACAGCCCTAGAGATAACCAGGCAGCCCCAGATAAGTCTGCATGATCCCAGAGATTCCTCGATAGCCACGCAGACGCTCGGGGCGGATTCCAAGATTCATCCAGAACGATTTATGGGGAACCCTATAGTCGGCCATGTTGGTATACCCGTTCGCTCGATTTACCACTCCGTAAGAAATGCAACTGTTCTGCCTTACCAAAAAGCACGAACCCCCCCAAGCAACCCACCTAACCCAACGAGGCGTAGAAAACGTCAATAATATGATACATTCGTTTACATTAAAAGGTCCCATTTTTTACGGATTGATCGATTCGGTTAAAAGGTGAGGGTGGAGGAGTTGGCGGGACGTCTCCACAACCTCGGGGTGTGGTTCAACTCGTCTATTATGTTCCGCATACCGCAGCCCGTCCTTGCCAGCGTTCACAACGTCAGTAAAATGGCGTACTAAGGTTCCCCGAACCATAGCCGAAGCAGGGGCCTCGTAGCCTGGTGGATAGCGCGCAGGACTCGTAATTCTGTGGCGCGGGTTCGATTCCCGCACGAGGCAGAAACAAATGGGCAAAGTTTCTTTCACCCTGAATGCCCCTGTTACCTAGCAGTAAATAGGTACCTGGGTGTTAGTCAGCTGTCATGGGCTGCTTCCTGGGGGTGGAGGCCTGGTCAAGGACCGGGCCGCGGGGACACTAAAGCCCCGAAATCAACTCAAGATAACCTCAAGATATAACATTACCGAGGACCCCCCAACGAATAGAAAATGGCATATGATGTCAATTTTGCGAGCCACTGTGGGGTTAGCACGTCTGTTTTTCGCTTGAGGGGTTTTTATAGGTCAAAATGCGATACTGTTTGAGAGGAGGGAGTGTCTGTACCCATCCAGTGAGGGGTATTGAACCCCATACCCATCCAGTGAGGGGTAATGGAAATGATATAGAAGCATATAATGGACTCGAAGGGGGGGGGGTGAACCCAAAATATGGCAAATTAGTTTGTGGAGTCCAGACATACTGGTGTAGGCATGCATAACTTGGATGACATTCCCTCAACACCTCACTGGACATCTGTGTGTCCCTACAAATGTGTAAAGTAATTCGCCTAATGTCTATAAACGGCCCTACAAAATTTTTGTAATTAGCTTCGAAGACATTTCAGATGATTACACTGAGTTTTAAATTAACTGAATGGCATTTCAGCAGGACTGAGAGTTTCTCGTCGACCCCCAGGAAGGTCTAGGTGGTTCTGAGAGCATCTAGAAGCTTCTAGAATCGTTGGTCTTTATCTTGAGAGCTTGGTCAAGTACCACCTGAGAGCCTTAAGAGCTTGCTAGTGACTGCTTCAAGCACAGAGAGCAGTGTGGTGACGGGGACATCCTTTCAACAACTCTTGAAATCCACAAATACATCCACGGAGTAGTGTGTAAACATTCTTTGAACCATCTCTCTATTTCAGAGTTGGTCTAAACATCGTTCTTCAAGTCTCCAGCACCCGTCTCTGGTTCTAAACATCGTCCTTCAAGTCTCCAGCACCCGTCTCTGACCCTAAACATCGTCCTTCAAGTCTCCAGCACCCGTCTCTGGCTCTAAACATCGTTCTTCAAGTCTCCAGCACCCGTTTCTGGCTCTAAACATCGTTCTTCAAGTCTCCAGCACCCGTCTCTGGCTCTAAACATCGTTCTTCAAGTCTCCAGCACCCGTTTCTGGCTCTAAACATCGTTCTTCAAGTCTCCAGCACCCGTTTCTGGCTCTAAACATCGTTCTTCAAGTCTCCAGCACCCGTCTCTGGCTCTAAACATCGTTCTTCAAGTCTCCAGCACCCGTCTCTGGCTCTAAACATCGTTCTTCAAGTCTCCAGCACCCGTTTCTGACCATAAACATCGTTCCGATAGTTCTGAATTCCCGTCTCGATAGCCACGATAAATTCTGGGAATCTCTGGGAGTTCAAGACGTTTCCAGAAGCATAGATACATCCAAGGATATCCGGCAGTGAATCCAGCAGCAGAGAGACCTTGGAGACATCGAGAACCTTCGAAAACATCGAGGAAACCAGGCGATATACCTCAGCAGTTCCGGGTGAATCAGGACAGTCAGCGACATAGTGAGCTTCTGGTACATTCTACTTGACGTAGAACATTCCAGAGTTCCAGTACGTCGCATGGAGGTCTGCTCGAGGAACACGCGAAGAGACTGGGATTGAACCGGAACTGGGTACGGTGTGGCAGCCCCCAAGGTCATGTAACTCCTGTAGACACCGGCAACGCCGCCGTCAGAATTGTGGGGGGGGGGGGCGGCGGCGGCGGAGAGCAGGAGTAAAGTGGGTCAGAGGAAGGGGGCGGGAGCGGCAGTGTGGGGAGAGGGGGGGGGATTCCGCCCCCCTTCAGCAGGGCCACCTTCAGGTGATCAATATCAGAGTTGGCTACTCCGACCTCTGCATGGCGAAACCTGCCTCACCAAGTATAGTCCTCCTGGTCTTGGTGGGGATGTAAGGCGTCGTTGGTTCATTCTTGTTACTTGGTGGTGTCTGACCCTTGTTGTTACTTGGTGGTGTCTGTCCCTTGTTGTTACTTGGTGGTGTCTGACCCTTGTTGTTACTCGGTGGTGTCTGACCCTTGTTGTTACTCGGTGGTGTCTGACCCTTGTTGTTACTCGGTGGTGTCTGACCCTTGTTGTTACTTGGTGGTGTCTGACCCTTGTTGTTACTTGGTGGTGTCTGTCCCTTGTTGTTACTTGGTGGTGTCTGACCCTTGTTGTTACTTGGTGGTGTCTGACCCTTGTTGTTACTTGGTGGTGTCTGACCCTTGTTGTTACTTGGTGGTGTCTGTCCCTTGTTGTTACTCGGTGGTGTCTGTCCCTTGTTGTTACTTGGTGGTGTCTGACCCTTGTTGTTACTTGGTGGTGTCTGACCCTTGTTGTTACTTGGTGGTGTCTGTCCCTTGTTGTTACTTGGTGGTGTCTGTCCCTTGTTGTTACTCGGTGGTGTCTGACCCTTGTTGTTACTTGGTGGTGTCTGACCCTTGTTGTTACTTGGTGGTGTCTGTCCCTTGTTGTTACTTGGTGGTGTCTGTCCCTTGTTGTTACTTGGTGGTGTCTGACCCTTGTTGTTACTTGGTGGTGTCTGACCCTTGTTGTTACTTGGTGGTGTCTGTCCCTTGTTGTTACTTGGTGGTGTCTGTCCCTTGTTGTTACTCGGTGGTGTCTGACCCTTGTTGTTACTTGGTGGTGTTCTTGGTGGAGTTGGTGTGGTGTGGTGGTGGTGTGGTGATGGTGTGGTGATGGTGGTGTGGTGGTGTCTGACCCTTGTTGTTACTTGGTGGTGTCTGACCCTTGTTGTTACTTGGTGGTGTCTGACCCTTGTTGTTACTTGGTGGTGTTCTTGGTGGAGTTGGTGTGGTGTGGTGGTGGTGTGGTGATGGTGGTGTGGTGGTGTCTGACCCTTGTTGTTACTTGGTGGTGTTCTTGGTGGAGTTGGTGTGGTGTGGGGGTGGTGTGGTGATGGTGGTGTGGTGGTGTGGGGGTGGTGTGGTGATGGTGGTGTGGTGGTGTGGGGGTGGTGTGGTGATGGTGGTGTGGTGGTGTGGGGGTGGTGTGGTGATGGTGGTGTGGTGGTGTGGGGGTGGTGTGGTGATGGTGGTGTGGTGGTGTGGGGGTGGTGTGGTGATGGTGGTGTGGTGGTGTGGGGGTGGTGTGGTGATGGTGGTGTGGTGGTGTGGGGGTGGTGTGGTGATGGTGGTGTGGTGGTGTGGGGGTGGTGTGGTGATGGTGGTGTGGTGGTGTGGGGGTAGTGTGGTGATGGTGGTGTGGTGGTGTGGGGGTGGTGTGGTGATGGTGGTGTGGTGGTGTGGGGGTGGTGTGGTGATGGTGGTGTGGTGGTGTGGGGGTGGTGTGGTGATGGTGGTGTGGTGGTGTGGGGGTGGTGTGATGATGGTGGTGTGGTGGTGTGGGGGTGGTGTGGTGATGGTGGTGTGGTGGTGTCTGACCCTTGTTGTTACTTGGTGGTGTTCTTGGTGGAGTTGGTGTGGTGTGGGGGTGGTGTGGTGATGGTGGTGTGGTGGTGTCTGACCCTTGTTGTTACTTGGTGGTGTTCTTGGTGGTGTGGGGGTGGTGGTGTGGTGGTGTGGGGGTGGTGTGGTGATGGTGGTGTGGTGGTGTGGGGGTGGTGTGGTGATGGTGGTGTGGGGGTGGTGTGGTGATGGTGGTGTGGTGGTGTGGGGGTGGTGTGGTGATGGTGGTGTGGTGGTGTGGTGGTGGTGTGGTGATGGTGGTGTGGTGGTGTGGGGGTGGTGTGGTGATGGTGGTGTGGTGGTGTGGGGGTGGTGTGGTGATGGTGGTGTGGTGGTGTGGGGGGTGGTGTGGTGATGGTGGTGTGGTGGTGTGGGGGTGGTGTGGTGATGGTGGTGTGGTGGTGTGGGGGTGGTGTGGTGATGGTGGTGTGGTGGTGTGGGGGGGTGGTGGTGGTGATGGTGGTGTGGTGGTGTGGGGGTGGTGTGGTGATGGTGGTGTGGTGGTGTGGGGGTGGTGTGGTGATGGTGGTGTGGTGGTGTGGGGGTGGTGTGGTGATGGTGGTGTGGTGGGTGTGGGGGTGGTGTGGTGATGGTGGTGTGGTGGGTGTGGGGGTGGTGTGGTGATGGTGGTGTGGTGGTGTGGGGGTGGTGTGGTGATGGTGGTGTGGTGGTGTGGGGGTGGTGTGGTGATGGTGTGGTGGTGGTGTGGGGGTGGTGTGGTGATGGTGGTGTGGTGGTGTGGGGGTGGTGTGGTGATGGTGGTGTGGTGGTGTGGGGGTGGTGTGGTGATGGTGGTGTGGTGGTGTGGGGGTGGTGTGGTGATGGTGGTGTGGGGGTGGTGTGGTGGTGTCTGACCCTTGTTGTTACTTGGTGGTGTTCTTGGTGGAGTTGTGCTGCTTGGTCTTGTGCTGTGGTGTGGTGGTGGTGTGGTGATGGTGGTTTGGTGATGGTGTGGTGGTGGTGGTGTGGGGGTGTGGTGGTGGTGGTTGTGGTGATGGTGTAGTGGTGTGGTGGTGGTGTGGGGGTGTGGTGACGATGGTGGTGGTGTGGTGTGGTGTGGTGGTGTGGCTGTTGTGGTGTGGTGGTGTGGTGTGGTGGTGGTTGTGGTGTGGGGGTGGTGTGGTGTGATGTGGTGGTGTTGTGGTGGTGGTGGTGTTGTGGTGGCGGTGTTGTGATGGGGGTAGTGGTGTGGTGGTGGTGTGGTGGTGGTGATGGTGGTGTGGTGGTGATGATGATGGTGGTGGTGATGGTGTGGTGGTGATGATGATGGTGGTGGTGATGGTGGTGATGGTGGTGGTGGTGTGGTGGTGATGATGATGGTGATGGTGGTGATGGTGGTGGTGTTGTGATGGTGGTGTGATGGTGGTGGTGTTGTGATGGTGGTGGTGGTGTGATGGTGGTGGTGTTGTGATGGTGGTGGTGTGGTGGTGATGGTGTTGTGATGGTGGTGGTGTGATGGTGGTGGTGTTGTGATGGTGGTGGTGGTGGTGTTGTGATGGTGATGGTGGTGTGGTGGTGGTGGTATGATGGTGGTGGTGTGATGGTGGTTGTGGTGTGATGGTGGTGGTGGTGTGATGGTGGTGGTGTTGTGATGGTGGTGGTGGTGTGATGGTGGTGGTGTTGTGATGGTGGTGGTGTTGTGATGGTGGTGGTGGTGTGATGGTGGTGGCGGTGTGATGGTGGTGGTGGTGTGATGGTGGTGGTGGTGTGATGGTGGTGGTGTTGTGATGGTGGTGGTGTTGTGATGGTGGTGGTGTTGTGATGGTGGTGGTGGTGTGATGGTGGTGGTGGTGGTATGGGGGGGTGGTGGTGTGGTGGTGGTGGTGTGGGGGTGTGGTGGTGGTGTTGGTGGTGGTAGTCGTTTGGTGGTGGTGCTGTGGTGGTGTTGTGGTGGAGGTGGTGGTGTGATGGTGGTGGTGTTATGATGGTGGTAATGTGATGGTGGTGACAATGGTGATGATGGTGGTTGAGGCGTGGTGATGGTGTCACCTGGTGTGTGTGTGTGTGTGTGTGTGTGTGTGTGTGTGTGTGTGTGTGTGTGTGTGTGTGTGTGTGTGTGTGTGTGTGTGTGTGTGTGTGTGTGTGAGTGTGTAAGGTGGTGCTCACCTGAGACATGGGACCCACCTTCACCACCTACAGTTGATCAATATCTAACTCTGCCTTAAGCTGCCTGCCTCGCCGGCTCAACCCCCCCCCTCCCTCCCCCACTACACCATGCCACCTCCCCCTCAACCCCCCTCTCATCTCCCCAACCTCCCCCCCTACCAACTTATCCCCTCCCCCCTCCCTCACCACCTCCATACGACCCCAGAAGGCTTATCGTTTTTAACCACCACCACAACTACCACCACAACCACCACCACAACCACAACCACCACCACAACCACCCCCACCCCCACCAGAACCATATTCACACCCCCCCCCCTCAGTACCATCACTGCCCCCACCACAATCCGCACCTCTGTAGCATAAAGGTAAAACTGGAAAAGTACACAGGTATGCAAGAAGACTGGTGCCAGAGCAAAGAGGCCCAAGCTACGAAGAATGAGTTAACGGAACTAAATCTCACAACCCCTGAAGGAACTGAGGGGGATATGATCACAACTTACAAGATACTGAGGGGGAATACATCAGGTGGACAGGAATAGCTTCTTCAGACTGAGACAAGAGGACGCAGATGGAACCGGAAGGGCAAATGAGCCGAAGGGACCATAGAAAAGTACTCATTTGGTTAGTACTCAGTACTCGAAGTGTTAACTACCCAGTACGGGTAGTTAACAAGTGGAATGCTCTAAAAGAAGAAGTTGTAGAAGCCACCTCCATCCACAACTTTCAAGACCAGATTCGACAAAAAACTTGAAATTAGTTTTAAGCTGAAATGCAAGAGGTGCGAGGCCAGTAGGCGCGGCATGAAGAGCTATCTTGAGGTTATCTTGATCTTGAGATGATTTCGGGGCTAAGGCCCGCGGCCCGGTCTTTGACCAGGCCTCCTTTATCTTATATACCCCCCAGGAAGCAGCCCGTAGCAGCTGTCTAACTCCCAGGTACCTATTTACTGCTAGGTAACAAAGGGTGCATTAGGATGAAAGAAACTCTGTCTATTTGTTTCCGCCTCCACCGGGGATCGAACCCGGAACCTCAGGACTAGGAATCCGAAGCGCTGTCCACTCAGCTGTCAAGCGCCTTGCCCCCCTGTCAAGCCCCTCTTGTCAATATTCTAGACCTCACTCCCACAACAAACTTACTTAAACCTGACTTCATCACACACGTTATTACGAGGTTCGAATCCTCGTCACGGCCCTTTTGGATTTGTTCATTTACTTAAACCTGAATTGATCCTCACTCCCCCCCCCGGTGCCCCTCTGGTCGTACCCGGGGCATTCAAGTGTGCCCCAGCAGAGCTATCCATGCCCCCCTCCCTCCCCCCCCTCCTCCTCCCAGGCTGCCAAGCGGCCATGGGTCTCTGCCCATCTTGATAGGTCCAGTAGTTAATATTCCCACAACAGTACTCCCTTTTTTTCAGGGATATTCCTGCGCGGGCCCCTTAGGTCGTCCCTGGTTGGACCACTGGTTTGGTCACTGGCTGGACCACTGGTTTGGTCACTGGCTGGACCACTGGTTAGGTCACTGGCTGGGCCACTGGTTTGGTAACTGGCTGGGCCACTGGCTGGACCACTAGCTGAACCACTGGCTAGGCCACTGGCTGGACCACTGGCTGGACCACTAGCTGGACCACTAGCTGAACCACTGGCTAGGCCACTGGCTGGACCACTGGCTGGACCACTGGCTGGACCACTAGCTGGACCACTAGCTGAACCACTGGCTAGGCCACTGGCTGGACCACTGGCTGGACCACTGGCTGGACCACTAAGTGTTACCCGTTCCTAGTGTCTCTCTCTGACTACAGTAACATTATGCACCAATGTGTTTGACAACTTCTGCTCTGTTAAACCTCAATTCAAAATCTTATTTGATTTGTAACTAATTACTGTATTAGATCCAGTTGGAGTAACACTGACTGGTAGTTAAGAGGACTGGTAGTTAAGAGGACTGGTAGTTAAGAGGACTGGTAGTTAAGAGGACTGGTAGTTAAGAGGACTGGTAGTTTGTGTTCCGGTAGAGAACTATGACCTGTAATCACCTCATTGCTATAACTATCTTATCAGGGCTTACTACTATCTTAGGAGGCCTGGTCGACGACCGGGCCGCGGGGACACTAAGCCCCGGAAGCACCTCAAGGTAGGGCTACAATTTGTAGTTGTGAAAGATAATGTTGTTTTCATAAGAACATTTCTCACTAAATAAAAGATAAGGAGATATCGTCGTCCCATCCCAAATCCTTATCTAACCCCTTAGACGGTCGGGGATTGAACGCCGACCTGCATGAAGCGAGACCGTCGCTCTACCGTCCAGCCCAAGTAGTCGGGCTGGAGTGAATATCTTAATATTGGAGACGTAGAGTGTTCGCATGTCAGCCAGCGACACATCTGGACACAACTGATTGCTGGGGCGACAGAATTGATTCCTGCGGGGTCGGCGTTCGATCCCCCGACCGTCCAAGTGGTTGGGCACCATTCCTTTCCTCCCGTCCCATCCCAAATCCTTATCCTGGCCCCTCCCCAGTGCTATATAGTCGTATGTTTGTTGTTTTAGATTTAGCTACTCAGAACGAAGTATCCATGTAGCACGGGCTATGGTGAGCCCGTAAATATATAGTCGTAATGGCTTGGCGCTTTCCCACTGATAATTTGATTTGGTTGGCTGATGAAAGTCATAGGCTCCATAGGTGGGGCTCCAGCTCCTGAGCTCCACCTTCAGCCATTATTATTTTAATACAAAAAAAATAGCTACAATCGATGGGAAGGGGGAAGGGAACTATCAGGAGAAAGCACCAAGCCATTACGCCTATATAGCACTGGGAAAGGGGTCAGGATAAGGATTAGGGATGGGACAGGGGGGGGGGGAAGGAATGGTACCCCAACCACTTGTGGACGGTCGGGGGATTGAACGCCGACCTGCATGACGCCAGTTTAAACTAACGAATATAGGGGGAGGGATGGTGGCTATAGATGTATACTTGACACTCGGGGTCAACTGACAGTGTCAAATGAACTGTCATTTGACATTAAAGAGTGTCAAATGGAGTGACCCCGGGCTTGGTGGAGAAGGGTGGTACGTGGAGGGCCAGTGGGCGTGCGGGTCGCCCGTACGTACAGCGTACGTGCTCCAGGGTGACCTATGTCCAGTGTTAGAAAGTGTTTTGTTGTGCAAGAGAAACGTGGGATAACGAGCAGTTGTAAAAGCGAACTTCATTCATGACTTCAAAAGTTGGCATGATAGAAGAATAACCCTGGATTTATTGGATTATTATCAGAGACACACACACACACACACACACACACACACACACACACACACACACACACACACACACACACACACACACACACACACACACACACACACATACACACACACACAATTGAGTGCCCAAATGAGTGGTGGAAACTGAGTACCCACATGAGCCACAGGGACGTTAGAAAGAACTTTTCAGTGTCAGAGTAGTTAACAGATGGAATGCATTAGGCAGTGATGTGGTGGAGGCTGACTCCATACACAGCTTCAAATGTAGATATGATAGAGCCCAGTAGGCTCAGGAACCTGTACACCAGTTGATTGACAGTTGAGAGGCGGGACCAATGAGCCAAAGCTCAACCCCCGCAAGCACAAATAGATGAGTACTGACTCACACAGCACCACGCACAAACACACCATCAAAAGCACTCTGGAAGAACCAAGTGGAAACAAGTAAAAAAATCCACTTTCTCAGAAGAAACATTTCCCAAGAGTCTCATGTGCCAATTCTTTTGAAGTTTTAAGGGGCCATATTTGGAGGATATTCTCAGGTAATATTTTTAATGGGCAATTTACCGAGATGAATTTTTACTGCCGTAAATGTTTAAAAAGAGAGCCTTCGCGGGAAGACATTTTCACGAGGACATTTGCCGTATATATTAACTACACCCCAAGACATCTCGGCAGCCTCACAGCTCAGAAAACACAGTTCCGTATCCCCAGCCTCTTGGGGGGGGGGGGAGGACACCTTGCCAGAAAAGTATTCACAAAGATGCTTTTTTTCGTTATAAAGAATTGTTTTCTGGGTTCATTTTCCCTGTGAGGGTAATGAGAAGAGGACAATGGTGAGTCCTGTTTGTCCTCTTCCTGTCTCCTTGTCACGGAGGAGGAGGAGGAGAGAGAAGCAGCAGGTGTATACGGGGAAAGGTTGAGCTGACAGGGAGAAGACAAAGAGATTGAGATAATAAGCTTTTATCCTTATTTTGTACTCTGAGTGGCCCCCCCATCCTTATTTTGTACTCAGAGTACAAAATAAGGATGGGGGGCCACTCAGAGTACAAAATAAGGATGGAGGGCCACTCAGAGTACAAAATAAGGATGGGGGCCACTCAGAGTACAAAATAAGGATGGGGGCCACTCAGAGTACAAAATAAGGATGGAGGGCCACTCAGAGTACAAAATAAGGATGGGGGCCACTCAGAGTACAAAATAAGGATGGAGGGGGCCACTCAGTACAAAATAAGGATGGAGGGGCCACTCAGAGTACAAAATAAGGATGGAGGGGGCCACTCAGAGTACAAAATAAGGATGGAGGGGGGGCCACTCAGTACAAAATAAGGATGGAGGGGCCACTCAGAGTATAAAATAAGGATGGAGGGGGCCACTCAGTACAAAATAAGGATGGAGGGGCCACTCAGAGTACAAAATAAGGATGGAGGGGGCCACTCAGAGTACAAAATAAGGATGGAGGGGCCACTCTGAGTGGCCCCTCCATCCTTATTCTCAGGGCCACTCAGAGTGGCCCCTCCATCCTTATTTTGTACTCTGAGTGGCCCCCTCCATCCTTATTTTGTACTCTGAGTGGCCCCTCCATCCTTATTTTGTACTGAGTGGCCCCCTCCATCCTTATTTTGTACTCTGAGTGGCCCCCATCCTTATTTTGTACTCTGAGTGGCCCTCCATCCTTATTTTGTACTCTGAGTGGCCCCCCATCCTTATTTTGTACTCTGAGTGGCCCCCATCCTTATTTTGTACTCTGA